TGGATCTCGGAACAGTTTATTTACAGTTACCTACGGAAATCCTTGAACTCAAAGCGGTAGAGAACAGTAATATTGGCACGGGAAAAAGAGTGTTAAAGACCAATTACCAAACAATTTTGAAAGCATCGAACACAGTAATCCTAAAGGTTTGAAAACCATTTTTTTCATACATGTTGCGGGTGACAGTTGTCTAGAAGCCAGCTGCGTGGTATTACTTTTAGAAAACGTATTTGTGATGTGTGTTGCAACTGGCATTTGTTCAGGCTCCAAGCGACTGATTTTTTTTATAAAAGGCTTTTTAATATGTTTTCCCTTCGACAGTTGTCCCTGTTTCAAGTAAATGATGCCGTCTGCTGGACATGGTTGTGGCGAGGGCAGCGGCTGCGATAGGGTCGGTACCCGACGACGACGCCGATAATAATTAACTTTTGGACATTTCATCGGTTCGAGGTACTTGTTCAGACAAATTCGTACATCCGTCAGCAACCAAGTTTCAACCTGAAAGAATTTTGATTGCATCAGATGACAGGAGAGTAGAAAATCAACCCAGCAATTTTAGCTTTTTCTGGCAACTGCTTGTAGATACAAAACGTAAAAGCAAAAAGAATTAATAATATAGAAAACCTTTGTATCTCTCATACAATAAACTTTGACAGAGCCCTCAACATGAGTCATTTCAAATAATGCTTTCTTTATATCCTGTAATTGGTATTTTGTTTGCGATGACGGAATGATTCCATGTGATTCCAAGGTGCTGGAAAAGGAAGCTATCTCAAGGCTTTCAACATTGACATAGTTGAAAAGTTACTGAGATTTGCATTTTAAAACCATACAATAATAACAAGACCCTTCCAGTTTTTTTCCCTCATGTCCCCCACTTTAGCCTTGCAAAGTAAGCCACTTCCTTCGCCACATTTTTTTCTAAGACGTCATTTATATAATCCTATACTTTTGCTCTTGTAATCTGGCTATGGTATGCTGTGAATCTAAACTTCTTAAGCTTGGTTTAGAGGCCATAGAGCAACCAACCAATGGCCAATTCAAGGCGTATATTTCTATAGTTATCAACAGTAACAGCTTCAATAAAACAACTGATAAATGGATGATTCATCAACACCTAGCGACTGTAACAAAAACTCTTTCAAATACAAAACAAATGCCAAACAAAATTTAGGCTGTTTTCTATCTTCTCGACCGTTTCCTTTCGCTTCCTCCTACTCAGTCTGCCCAGCATTTCAAAATGAAAGTGCTCTGTTCTTATAGCTAGTCAAGTCATCGCAATCAAGAAAATAAAAAGGAAGGAAGAAGAAGAAGAACAGCTCTGTTTCTCTTTTCGATCTCTAAAAAACAAAGATTTCACCAAAACGACTGTTAACCATCATCTTATTAGATGTACCTCTAAACATAAAAAAAATCTCTCCATATCTTCTCAATTTCTTGTTTCACTTAATGGGACCGTACAATCTGCAGATAAAAGTTATGCATTTGAAATCCGAAAGAAAAACACCTTATGTATCACACCAAATAATTTTATAGTCACATCACAAGTCACCACAGTTAGAAATGGTTTTTATAACCACAATCTACTGGCAATGCTTTTTACAAGCCGGTTAGTAAAACACCGTTACACAGCTGTAAAGTGGAGCGCGACAAAAATTAAAATTTTTCTCTCCTCTTAGGTGAACTTTACTGCAGTTTTGCAACAATGAAATCCGTAAACTATTCAAAATTGAAAATAAAAAAAGCAGCAGTAAATATTTACCTAAAAACGGGGTATTTTTGGTGCAAGAATAACGAAAAGTTAAAATATCGGAATTGAGTGTTAAGTAATTCAATGTTTGTGGAACATCGTCCATGTTTTTGCCATTCGTGCTTCCTACAAACATTCGAACCAGTTAGGTAACTTGAATACAGAAATGTACAAAACCATGTGCAGGAACAAAAGTAAGCTAAAATTAAACCAATGACAGATTTTAGTCAACTTTTAATATACTTAACATCCAGAAAGCAGACCTGAAGAACTACTTAAAAAGAAAAAAAAAAAAAGGTAAAATTCTTGAACTTGCCTACTTATATCTTTTTCTTAAATGCTTCAAAAACAATTCTAAGTCTCTGTTTTTTTTTTTAAATTGTAAAGAAATTAGGCACTATGGCAAACCAATCTCGCTGATCATATGATTTTATGCCAACAAATTGATAAA